CCCCGGGCCTGACCGACGAACCCGCCGAGACCCCACACCTGAGCGGGTGTTACCTGTCGCACTGCTGGCACTGCAGGATGAGGTCGTCCTGCAGGTACGCTCGCTGGCAGACGGGACAGTGGCTTAGGCTGCAGCACGGCCCGCACAGGCTGTAGTTACTCTGCCACTCGCAGCGCAGCCCGGGGGAGGCGGAGCCACACTGCACACACCACACACACCTGAGGAGAGAGCAACCAGCACCCGTCAGCTCTTACCTTTCGTGTTATGTGTCACGTGATTAGAGTCTGAGCTCTGGCTGGCTGAGGGTTGGTGGAATCTCGTGTCCTGTCATGTGACATCAAACATGAGGAAACTCTCTCAGCCAATGTGTTTCTTGGTTGCTATGGTGATGTCGTCTCACTCACATGAGGAGACACGTTTAGTCATGAGGGAGGGCTGATCAGCTGATCTGACAGACGCCTCCTCGCACACACAGGTGAGCGACAGGTAGACCCACCATTTGCACTTCCAGGCTCCTTTAGGCACCGTGAGGAGGGGCGGGTCCAGGCAGTAGGTATGGTAACTGATATCGCAGTCATCACATAGCAACAGTCGCCCAGGGTCGCTGGCCTCACCGCAGGCTTCGCACACCGTGCACTCCAAACAGCGCCACCCTTTGGTCAGAATCACCCGAGTGATCTGCAGACAGCACACTCAAACAGTGAGCCGGGGGCAGGAAGTAATCAGATTACAGGTAGGCGAGTACTGACCTTTACGTTGACGCAGTAAGGATGGTAACACTGTCCACACTGAGAGCACGCCAACAGCCGACCTTCAGCGCCCTGCCCGAAACTGCCACACACCACACACATGTCCTGCACGCACACACGCACACGGGTTAACTGCTGCATGTCACATGATCACTGCTTACACACGTGATGTCACACGCAGGTGAGCACACCTGTCTGAGGGTGAAGTGGTCCGACGTGGAGAACATCACCACGGTGTTGTGCATCGAGTTCTCCTCGTCCTCCTTTGCTGTGAACGCCTCCACATACGCAGCCTGACGCACACACGCACACAGGTAATCAGTAATCTGTGATCATCTATCATGGACATATCAGTGTGCAGGTGTGCTCTTACTCCCGGTGACACAGTCACGCTGTCCTGAGTCTTCAGTCGGCTTCTTCCTCTCCCCCCTCTTCCTCCGATGCCGCCTCCTCTGGACCTCCTCCTGCCTGGGAACCCGGAACCACGACCCTGAGGAGAGGAGACAGGCGGGGGGAGGAAGGAGGAGAATTAGGAGGAAATCCATGATGTCACTGGTAAGATCAATTTCAGAACTTCCAAGGAATCAGGAATCAGCTCCACTAGTCCCCGAACACCCCACACTCAATCTAGTCACGCTGGCGTTACTCCTCACGGCGCCAGTATAGCCTCTGTGTTAGTCTCTTGTATTTACACCCGCTGCTAAAGGTGCCGCCACTCGCACATTACAGCCACATTAAAATGGCGGGAAAAAGCGACACAATCGTGCGTTAAAAGCAGCTGCAGCCGCGTCCTTCTGAGGATTCACTTCCTGAGGACGTCACGGAAAACAAACATGACAGAACGATCAGACCCGCAGGCGCGTTTGATTGGAGACCTTTGCAGCCCAGCAGGGTGGAAGCACACACTCTCTCACGCACACAGGCAGCACAGCGTGCGCTCGTTTCCCACACCCACAGCAGAGACAGCGTTAGTAAGCTGCTGTTAGTCACAGCCGGTGACAGTTAGGGTGCACTTTTTTACCACTCTCATGCTCCAGAGCGGGGAGTCCTGCAGGCGGGGCTTAGGGTCCCACCCTCCCTCTCCCGTGGAATCCTGGGAGGACGAGAGGGGGCTGACCGCCCTGCGACTACTCCAACACGTGCCCTGAATGAGAGGGAGGAGGAGGAGGAGAAGAGAGGGGGAGGTGGGGACAAAATGCAGTAACATAAATGTAACGGCCACAAAATGAAAAAAGAACTCATGACGACACAATGTTACCATGGCAACCACACACACTGGGTATTGACGGCAGCCAACGCGCCGATCGAACAACCTCGATGTGCACAGAACAAACACGCCGCGATCAATGACACGTGTGTGAATGTGTGCACGTCTGTGTGAGGGCGTGGGTCAGGCATGCCCTGCCGGGCCGACAGGTGAGGATGAGGATGAAGATGAAGCACACTGATGGTAACCTGCTTCTCATCACGCCCGTGGAGGTGCGAGCTGATGGAGGCAGGAATAAAAAGCAGCAGCGTTGAGAGCGCTCCTGTGTCGTCTGACTGGCTACAGAACTTGACTATAATGTGTCACTCAGGAGGAGGAGCTTGTTAGAGACAAGAGGTTTGTGGAATTTCACCTCCAGCTTTTTCTTTTTAACAATCGATATGTAAAGGACACACACACACACACACACACACACACACACAATACAGTTTTTCTACTGATGACTGGACAGAACAAAACTTTCCATGATTGTAATAGGGCTGCCACGATTTGTCGACTAGTCACGATTACGTCGACTATCAAAATCGTCGACGACTGATTTAATAGTCGACGTGTCGTTTGAAGCTTTGTAAGATCGCAAAAGACGCAGGAATAAGTAGCAGGATTTAAGAGTGTAATAACGGACTGAAACAGAAGATGGCAGCACTGCATGTACAAGGATGCCAGCTGCCGTTAAACCCCGAAGAAGAAGAAGCAGCTGTGTCCCAGAATTCATAGCGCGGCCCAGCTTAGTTTCCAACAATGGCGGTAGCTAGTTAGTTTTAATATTACTCTTATTATTCTTTCTGGGTCACAAAATAAACGTTTAACATATTTTCAGGCGAGAATGTAGCTGTGTAAACCTCAAATATCGGCTCAGTTTATCAGGACACCACATATTTTCAAAAGCGCTCCGACGTTTTCGGAGACGTCTGTTACCCACTAGCTCGTTAGCTAGCCGGGGGCTAGGTCACTAGCCGCAAATCGTTTTCAAACCCACCGCCGTCTTTCGCGACTCAGGTTAAATATATATGAGTCACTTAGATAAATTAAAAATGTTGTTGTTTGGCTTTTTTTTTAGTATTTTATTTGTTCCTGAGTAAATCGGTTTGGCTGAGATTAAAGTTATAGTTTTTACACAGCTGAATAAACGTCAAGCAGACAGCTGATTATCAGAAGTGTGAGATGCTGGAGAATATACTCCGGTGTCCTGTTATATTTTAGATAGCAAGGAGTTTATTAAACTTCACCGAAACAATCTGCAAATTTCATTAAAATTGAATAAACTATCATCTTGTCTTTATTTTTAGTTAGCACCTTAAAAGCTTAAAGCTGTAAGCTAATGATAGTTATATAAGAGCAGATGCTGCTGGTGCAATAAGCTGTAGTTTTACGTCCAGTGGATGATGATCTGATTAGTCGACTAATCGCATAAATAATCGGTGACTAGTCAACTATCAAAATAATCGTTTGTGGCAGCCCTAACACACACACACACACACACACACGTCAAAGGTCACCAACCTGTTTCACCCGGGCTCTGCCAGGAGAGAACTTCCTCTTAGAGATGGCAGGCTTCCCCATGCCGATTTTTGGGGTGAGGGAGAGCACGGTGGTGGGAGGAGCCTGAGGTTGCACACAGAACAAAAGGAGAAGTGAAGAGGAGCAAGAGTGAGCGAAGAAGAGGAGGAGGCTGCCGCTTACCTTAGAGAGAGGTGGAGACTCTCTAGCTAGGGGGGAAGTCCTGAGAGAAGGCAAAGGTGGGGTGAGCGGCGGCGGCGTGATGGGCACTCTTGCAGGGGAGGTCTCTGGGGAGGCCTCAGTGGAGAAGGGAGACTGTCTGAGGCGGATGGAGAGGTCATCAGACAGCCGGGGGGAGCAGGGAGGAGGCCTCAGGGTGCGACCCTTCCCTCTGCGCAGCAGCGGCGATGAGGATGGCGAGGACAGGTGCAGAAGGGACGGGGGAGGCGATGATGTCATCAGCTCCATCACCTCTCTGTCTAAAGAGGGGTCCAAGTCCAGCACGGGGCTCACTGGCTCCTCCTCCATGTCTGAGTGCTCCTCAGTGATTGGCTGACCATCTGACGGCTGAACTGTTTCAGAAAGATCCTCCTCCTGTGAAGGCTCAGCTTGTGATTGGTGCTCATCTTCGGTGGGTTCTGTTACCAAAGCAGCAGGTTCATATAGGATCTGTGACTGACCCCCATCACACTCTGATGTCATGTGACAAAGAGGCGATTGGTCCTTCAGCCCCACCGTATGTCCAAAGTCACTGGGAAGCTTTTCCTCCTGTGGGAGGCCCTCTACAATGGTGGGCTGGGAGTGACGGTGGGGGGAGGCCTCCAGGGAGCCAGCTCCCACAGATGGAGGTGATGAGGGCAAAGGGAAGGACACAGGTTGCTGCGTGGGTACGGGGGAGGCGGGGCACTGAGTCTCCTGGACTCCTGCAGAGACACAAACATGGACACATTAGATACTGATGCAGGTTCAGGATCTTCCTGGTTACAGTCACAACAATGGAGTGGGCGGAGCAAGCCTGGAGAAAAGGGAAGTCACGGAAAAATGTAAACATTTAAGAGTTTGGATTGGTTATGTTTCCGTGTTTGCAAAGCAAACCTTTAAGACCGCTGGAGCTACTGGGCAGAACCTTCTGGTTTTTTTCCTCTCCTCCCTTGCTCCTCTCCACAGGCTGCTCCTCTGCTAGGCTCTCCTGTGATGTATGTTCAGGCTGCTCCTCCTGCTGCTCCTCTGTGCTCAGTGTGTCTGGGTGAACAAAAAGAGCAGATAACCTCAGAACAGATCGTGTGTTAATCGGGAACTTTGAGTCACTCGCCCTCATACTTACCCATGGTGCCATCAGACATCCCTTCAGGTCCAGGACCTTGCTCTGGCTTCACGGGACTAGCAGGACCAGGACTTGGGCTGGTTATTGAGGGAGCAGGATTAACTGAATCACAAGCAGGACTGGCTTCACAGTGGAACGGGCTGGCAGAAGCAGGTCTGACACCAGGCTCTGCCTGCACAGGACTCACAGAGCCTGGACTTGTGGTGATCTGTTTAAAACCTGGATCCATATGAACACCTGTAGAACTTTGACCTGGGCTGTGTAAGGGACTACGCTGAACCTGCAGAGTGTCAAAAGAGACTGTTTGAGAAGGGCTAATCTGTGAGGGGGCGGGGCATGTGGGACTAAGAGGTGCCTCATTGGGAGAGGTTGAGCTAGGCATCGCAGTGTTATCCTGAGTGGGACTAGCATGGACAGGGCTAGCAGGACTCAGACTGGCCTGAGTGTAAGTAGCATCAGTGGGGATGAGGGGGCTTGGTGAGGCAGTGCACTGGTGGTTTTCTTTGGGGACCACTGCAGTACCAGCTGGGGACTGGCTGACTTGGTTCTGACTAATCTGGCTGGGGCTAACACCAGCAGAGTCGTCGGGTACAGAGGCAGCAGGACTTGTTTGTCTGATACAGTCTGCAGGTTTATCAGCACCCATATCAGGCTGAGCCCCACTGGAAAGAGCAACTGTGTCCACATCAGGACTAGTGGGGCTCAGTGATGCCTCAGTAAGGCCAGTACTACTTTCAGTGTCAGGAGCCGGACTGTGAGGTGGGCTAACACCGGCAAAAGCAGCATGTGCAGGGCTGCTATGAGTTGTGCTAGCTAATGAGGAAGTTTGTGTCTGCACTGGGCCTGAGTGAGCTACTACTACATGAGCAGGACTAGCCTGACCAGCAGGACTAACTGGGCTATGACTGGTGGGGACATCAGCTACACTAGGAGAACAGGGATATGTTTCAGCACGAACAGGACTCCTCTCTGGGCCGGTATCACTCACTGTACAGTGTGGAGGACTTGAACTACCAGAAGCTGGTGGAGGGCTTGACGGCTGTACTGCAGCCAGGTGTGAAGTACTGAAGGAAATCTGGATATGTGGCCGACTTGACTGACCAGGTGGACTTTCTGTCTCCTGAGCATGCTCATGACCTGACAAAACAATGCCACCGGTGGCTTCTGAGTAAGCAGGGTCAGGCTGAGGACTGTCTGGTTGACTGGGACTAGGTTCTGACTGAACACCATCACTTGGCTGGATGGTAGCTACCTCCATCTCCTCATCCTGACAGGAGGCAAGGTGGATGGGTTCAGCCAGCGCTGCTGATGGGCTACTCTCCCCTGGCACAGGGCTAGGGTGGCCTTCAAGACACATGGTTGGGCTTGTAGGCATCTGGTAAGCACGAGTGGGGCTGGCACAAGCTGAGCTGGCCTGGTTATGTGTGGGGCTAGCTCCTTCAACAACTTCCATGCAGAGCGATGGGGTGTTGTGAAGATTCTGATGAATTAGGCTAGCTGGGGGAGGAGCTTCCTCCATTTCACCGGCACAAGGTGAGCAAGCTAGGCTACTGTGTTTGGCTGAAGTGCTAATGTGAAAAAGGCTTTCTGGTGTCTGGAAATCTAGGACATGAGGGGGACTGGAATGATCGGGACTGAGCGTGCTACTTTCAGGGGGCACTGTGGCCAGGCTAGAGGTGGGGTCAAGGGGAGGAGGGTTATTTTCCAGTGTTTGGCCATCAGGGCTAGAAGGGCATTGTTTCAAGGAGTCAGGTTGTGTGGCATGGGTGGACTCCTGTGTGAGTGTTGAATGTGCAGCAAGTTCTAAAGTATGTAAGCTAAGCTGTGAAGACCGGAGAGCCTGAGCAGGGCTGGCAGGTTGGGACAGACTGCACCGTTTAGGTCTGAGTGGTGGTGACGATGGGCTACATGGAGCTGAGGCGTATCTTGCTGCCGATGAGAGGTCCTGGTCCAGTGTAGACGTGTCCTGTGCAGCCCCATACTGCAGAGTAGGGCTGCTCAATCCAGGGCTCTCCTGGTCCAGTGTAGATTCAGTGTCCTGTGAGGGGTTCCTCATGCCAGCTTGCAGAGGACTACAGTCCGTTTGTAGAGCACTGTGCTGAGGCTGTGAGGCTGTGAGGCTGGGACTATGTGATCCACTGAGCTGCATAGCATTGTCCTGTGCAGGACTGTCTGGTGGAAGGCTGCGCCGAGCCTCCTCTGTCCCCAGCTCCACCCTGGGAGGAGTCAGCCCTGATTTGATAGGACTGTGAGGTGAAGGGCTGTGTAGAAAATGTGCAAGGGTACAAGCCGTGGGACCACCCTGTACTGGACTCTGCTGAGATTCTGTGTCCATGAACTGATCCTCTGTGGAATTCTGCTCAGTACATTCCTCAAGTTCTGCCAGATTAGAGTGAGACTGTGCAGGACTCTGCTGAAGGTGTAACGGGGTCCAGCTTTTCTGGTCATCTGTGGAATCCAAGTGGGATGCTGAGTAACTTTCATGGGCCTCTGCAAGATCAGGGCAAGACGGTGAGGAGCTTATTCTAAACTCTGCCACATCAGGATGGAGCTCTTCTTGATTACGATGGGATGCTGTGTGACAAGAGGGAGATGGCTCGAGTTCTATGACAGAAGGTGCAGTCAAAGGTACAACGTTTTGTTGGGGCTCCATGGGATCAGGATGGGAAATTACAGCACTCTGTGGGAGCTCCGTGACAGATGGTTGAGGACTTTGTGGGGGTTCAGTGTGAGATTGTGCAGGACTTGACAGGAGTTCTTTAGGAAATGGTGCATTCTGTGGGAGCTCTGTGGAATCAGTGTGAGACAGCACAAGAATGTCCTGGAGCTCTGCTGAAGGTGATGAGGAACTTTGATCTATGGGAGATGATGGATGACCTTGTTGAAGCTCTGCATTTTCAGATGGTGTAGGACTTCGGAGTTCAAGCGTTTCTAAGGATTTTGGTTGAAGCTCCGTGGAAATAGGCTGAGGTGGGAGCTCTGTGGGAGATGGTGGAGGATTTTGCTGGAGCTCTGTGGGAGATGGTGGAGGATTTTGCTGGAGCTCTGTGGGAGATGGTGGAGGATTTTGCTGGAGCTCTGTGGGAGATGGTGGAGGATTTTGCTGGAGCTCTGTGGGAGATGGTGGAGGATTTTGCTGGAGCTCTGTGGGAGATGGTGGAGGATTTTGTTGGAGCTCTGTGGGAGATGGTGGAGGATTTTGTGGAGCTCTGTGGGAGATGGTGGAGGATTTTGTTGGAGCTCTGTGGGAGATGGTGGAGGATTTTGTTGGAGCTCTGTGGGAGATGGTGGAGGATTTTGTTGGAGCTCTGTGGGAGATGGTGGAGGATTTTGTTGGAGCTCTGTGGGAGATGGTGGAGGATTTTGTTGGAGCTCTGTGGGAGATGGTGGAGGATTTTGTTGGAGCTCTGTGGGAGATGGTGGAGGATTTTGCTGGAGCTCTGTGGGAGATGGTGGAGGATTTTGTTGGAGCTCTGTGGGAGATGGTGGAGGATTTTGTGGAGCTCTGTGGGAGATGGTGGAGGATTTTGTTGGAGCTCTGTGGGAGATGGTGGAGGATTTTGATGGAGCTCTGTGGGAGATGGTGGAGGATTTTGCTGGAGCTCTGTGGAATCAGGCCAGGATGGTGCAGGATCTTGGAGCTCTTTGAGCATTTGTAAGGAATTTGGTTGAAGCTCCATGGAAACAAGTTGAGATGGGAGCTCTTTGGGAGATGGTGGAGGGCTTTGCTGCAGCTCTGTGGAAAGAGGGTGAGATGGTGTAGGACTGTCTGGGAGTTCTTTGGGAGACGGTGCAGAAAATTGTTGGTGTTCTACAGGAGTAGGCGAGGAACTTTGCTGGACTGCCACAGGATACGGGTGAGATGGTGGAGGACTTTGTTGGAGCTCTGTGGGATCAGTTTGACATTGTGAAGGGCTTTGTTCCAACTCCATGCTCCATCCACTTTGTGGGAGAACTTTGGGAGTTTCTAGGAGTTTGGCAGAAACCGGGTGACATAAAAGACTTTCTTGGAGTTCTGTGGACTTTGGGAGAGTTGGTGGAGGACTCTGTTGAAGCGTGGCTTCAGGCTGAGATGATACAGAACTTCCTTGGAGCTCTGTGGACTCAGGGAGAACTGGCAGAGAACTCTGTTGTGTCTCCATACCCTCAGAATGAGACGATAGAGGACTCTGTTGGGGTTCACTGGCTTCAGGGTGAGATGTTGTAGAACTCTGTTGGAGCCCTGTAGACTGAGGAAGAACTGACAGTGGATTATTCAGGAGCTCCTGGGAGTCGGTGTGAGATGACGTAAGACTTGGTGGTGATGGTGCACTGAGGGACTTTGTTGTTCTCTGTGGCGGCTCCTCAGGGACGAGTTGACCAACAGGACTGGCCGGTGGAGCCTCTGTGCATGTTGAGACCGATGGCTGTGGAATGCTACTGGGTGGAGTCTGTGAGGGGCTAAGGGCGGCAGCTGATGCCAATGTGGGACTGTGTGGGTTTGGCTCCTCCTGTTGAGGTCTGCACGTGGAGCAGATGTACACTTTGGACCCCACCTTGCCCTCCCCGGCCTGGATGATGCAGTCTGCATGGACAAACCTGCAAAACAAAATAGTTTTGTTGTTTGCTCTTCATCACTGTCAAAATAAAAGCATATTTTAATAAAAGCTAACACCAGTGGTTTTAAACCTTTGGGACAGCCCGCCACAGAGGCCCACAGAGGCTGTGCAGTGAGGGCACAAAAGTAACTGAAGTTCATATATGAGAACCAGAGAACCACTGGATTCCTCTTTCACAATAAAAGCCATGTTAGTTCTCTTCAGTTCAGGGATTTTATTGTGAAGCAGCCTCAGTGAAACAGATGGTGCTTGTGTACCTATAGCAGCAGACACAGGTCACGCACTCCTGTGGTGTGTAGAGGTCGGGGGTGTGGCCACAGAGAAGGCAGGGCAATGCTGGGTCACACGACTCGCACAGAAACAGGTGATTGGCCCACTGGCCTGATGACCTGACACCACAGCGGCAGCAGACTCTGCAGTTCTGGAGAAGATGAGGGGTGGGAGGGGTTTGTGAGGGTCATCCAAAGTTCAACACACAGCAGTGTGTGTACGTGTGTGTTTATCTCACCTTGCAGCTCCAGCCGGTGCTCGGCGTGTGATCCAGAGGTGGTGTGAGACAGTGTGTGTGGTAGGCTTTATCGCAGCGCTGACACACCAATAACGCAGCTTCATCGCCTTGCAGCCTGACACACAGAGAGCACAGGTGGAGGTTCACACTGAGGACACGCCCTCTTTACTCCATCTTCAAATACCTGCTCACCCCAGTCAATAACTCTGCATGTGTGTTACCTGCAGCTCTGACACACGCGACACTGAGGACACTGCCAGCCGGCCCGGCAGAAAGGGGAGGGGGCCACAGAGGGGTCCACGCAGCTGCCATGGTAACGGTTACCACAACAACAGCACATTAACAGGCTGCCAAGCTCACCGCCGCCAGAGCACAGAGCACAGGGTGGCGAGGACCCTGAGGAGACATGATCATGTCACGTTATGACATCACAACCTCACATCCGCTTCAGTCAGCGCCTCTTACCTGCGTGTGCGTGCCTTGTACACAGTGTGCGCCTCTGGTTCCAGTCCAGGTGGGCTCCGGCAGCAGCAGCGCAGGGGAAGTGGTAGCACCGCCCACAGTCCATCTCCTGACAACGCAGCGAAGCTCCGAGCTGCCGGCAGAACGCGCACACCTGGACAGGTGAGAGATAGATAGGGTTTAGGGAGGAAGCTGTGGGTAAACCTTTGTATTCTCCTATTTTATTTTAGTCTGGCTCACAGACCCAGGAACCGAGCGCTTCAGCTGATGCACAGTATTCATCTACCTGAGCTACACAAGGAGGAGGGGCTACTGACCAGACGCCGTGAAAACCCACCTGTGTGCTTCCTGTGTCGATGGCTTTGTCCACGTAGAGCAGTGATTGTCCCTCGCCTCGACACACCCCCTCTGACCAAGTGGCACACTGCAGGTGAGCACAGCACTGACCTGTACACGCACACACACAGGAGGTTTAACACACACACACACACACACACACACACACACACACAGGAGGCAGTGAGGAGTAGAAGGAGGTTGTTGATACGCCTGCGTCGCAAAACCAGGGCTCATTGTGTGTGAGCCTGGAGCAGCTACGGGGGAAACACATGGGACAACCGTGCAGTTTGGGGCCATGGTTTATTCAACGTGCATTTTCAGTGTGGTTTAACTTGCAAATCTGATCTGAAATACTTTCCTTGAATGTGCCTTAATTTCACCTCTTTTTTCTTTCTTCTTTTC